GAGAGAGAGAGAGAGAGAGAGAGAGAGAGAGAGAGAGAGAGAGAGAGAGAGTGTGTGTGTGTGTGTGTGTGAGAGAGAGAGAGAGAGAGAGAGAGCTGGGGGCAACAAATTGAAAGACAAACAAAAACAGAAAATGTGAGAATAAGAAAATTAAGAAAAGCTTACCAAGTGTTCTGACCTTAGGTCAACATCATGAAATTATTATGCTCTCAACAGAGTGGTCACAAAATTCAGGCCCCAACACTATGGTTACTTCTTCCCGCAGACCACCGTTTTCCTCACATTGACAGTCACAGGGCCCCCAATCTAGCGACCCTCAATACTTTTGCAAGCCTTAAGGCAGGTCGACTCTATTTGAGGGGACCTCTGGAGGTCTCCCCAAATCCACGACTTGCCACTACGAGGAAAGCGCAGGACGAAAAGAACAACAAAATGGTCATGAAGAGCTGGGGAAAGAACCTCCCAAGGTGATCATGGGCATGGTCGTCCATGCTAGGTCCTCTACTACAGCGAACAACAGGGTAACCAGTACCGACCTAACAAAAGACCCGCTCTGAATCTAGGCAGTGCATTCCACCCTCAATCCACCCTTTACCCGCTTCCCCCCACACTCCCCTCCGCTCGGCCCCAGCCCCCTTTCCCAAAATTCTCCCAAGTTCCCCCAAGTTCTTGTGGTGAGATAGGGGCTGAATGAGCATGATCTAATAAGAGATTTCTTCAAACCACACCTGTCACAGCCTTCAAAACCTAAGCCCACACTACCATCCTCTCCAGAAATGATCCTGGACAGCGTGAAGGGGAAGATGGAAGTGAGCACCTACTGTACATTTGGATATACTGAATATAGTTCTCTCGCTTCTGTCTTTCGTGTCTCATTGCCATCCCACTCATGATCTGTACCTCTGTCGTCCGGCCTGCACAATCTCCATCCACTTATGAAGCCCTTTCTAGCCAATCTGTTTCTTTAGATGCATGTGGACTGAAGACAATTTTCACAACTATCGACCGATCTGGTGATAGTCCTGCACATTGTAAAGGAAGGGAAAAAAAAAAATTTGAGGAGGACAGGTCTTCGGTTCGGTAGTATTATGTCTTGCCCTGAATGCGCCAGAAAGTGTGGCAAACCAACTAAATGGCAGCAACGGACAAGCACACTTTCTTGGCATTACCATATGAACTGGTATCATTTTGCCATGGATCAGAAACACCCATGTGTGTATTCTCCCAAGTGGTCGCCATAGCTAGGTACCAAACAGGCCGCAATTTTGGGCCTTTTAAGCATTCATAACAGTGGTGGTCTTCAGCAGTATGTAGTTGTCAAAACGGGTAAGAATCTTTGGCCCAGTTCTCTGCTCATTTATGATGCCGGATATTTGTTCGGAGATGCTTGCTTGTATGCCGATAGCATGATGTTGTACAGCTCATCCTGGTAAAGGGGCGAGGATTGAGATCGGATCAGTGGAAGACTTTTGAGCGCCTCTCTCTCTCTCTCTCTCTCTCTCTCTCTCTCTCTCTCTCTCTCTCTCTCTCACACACACACACACACACACACACACACACACAGAGTACCGTTCTTGTCAGGGGTTTGGACCCTTGACAAGTCTGCTTGGAGTGCAAGGTTGGTGGTGTTGAGTAAAGTCGACCACTTTTCTCTCTCAGGGGTGAGTATCGCTACCTCTGGGCGATGACGAGTCGGTGAAAGTCCGACAAAACAGTCTGGTACAGTCATGCGTTTTTTTTTAGTGTATAGCGAATATGACAACACACACACACAACATCCTGATGAGTCGGTGAAAGTGCGACGACACAGTCTGGTACATTCATGCTTTTTTTGAGTGTATAGTGAATATGGCAACACACACGACGCACATGCGCGAGGGGATCTGCATAATGTCATTCTCCTTGTGCCCGTGGTGTCTCTAAAAAGACTGTTGGAAGTTCTGGGTATTTCTTATGCATCTGCAAGGTGCATTTTAGGACAACAATGGCTGAAATATACAGCTGCAGCCAGAATTGACCACAATCAATCACTGGGCTTTCCTCAGGGCCCAGCCAGTCTTCTTTCTGTCTGGCAGGGCTCTTGTTCCTCTCCCTCCCCCCCTGCTTGCCCCATACCTGACTCACTGAGTACTCAGGTGTCATGAGCATGCAGCTGGCATCAGCATAAAGGGGCCAGCGACAAAAAATATGAGTGAAACATTTGCTAGCCTGCTGCCATCAGTGCAACCGGGACATATTATAGACAGTGCGAATGTGGGAAAGGCCTTGCAATAAATTGGTAATGGCAGAGGAGTGCATGCAGCTGACTTTAGCACGAAGGAGCCAGCAATACCAAAAATGAGGATGCACATTTGCCAGGTTGGTCCCATCTCTGCACCCGCAGACTTCTACTGCTGACAGCGAAGTTCTCTTATGGTTCGCACAGGTGGACTTTTTGGCAGATAAACTGTTGGCAGTGTTGCCTACCTGGAAGGTACTTCTAATGGAACATAGGTTTTTCTGCTTTTGTTCTCTGCTTTTAGTTTTTCTCTGCATTTGTTCTCTGCTTTTTCTATGGAACATAGCTTTTCTTCTCTGTTTTTGGCGAAGCACAAGCTTCTCCGCTTTTTCTATGGAACATAGCTTTTGTTCTTTGCTTTTGGCGAAGCACAAGCATCAGGCTTAGATCTCTTTCAGGCATATCGACCTATCAGGAACGAGGATAGCGACCAAGCTCGGGAGCAGTGCAATACAAAGGTAGTGAAG